CCTGTAATCCCAGCGCTTGGGAAACTGAGACAGGAGGATCACTGAGTCTGAGTTGCATTAAGGAGATCCTGTACCAAATAAACACACACACACACACACACACACAAAGACTGATCCTGGAGCCTGTAGAAGAGGAGCTGAGGGGTGGAGCTACTGGGAGCAGGAGGCCAGGTTCAAACTGTCCCAGCAGGCAGAGGGGGCCCAGCGCCTCAGCATCGGAAGATGAGGCCAGCAGAGGGGTGGAGGACCAGGCCTAGAGCTGCTACATGCTGCTTCTTTAACCTAAAGACACAGCCCTCCTGGGAAGCTGCTTTATCCTCATTTTTGTTGTCTGCTTTGTTTTGTTTTAGAGACGGTCCCCCTGTGTAGCTGAAGCTGACCTCAAACTCATTTTGTAGTACAAATCAGCCTCAAGGCAATCCTGCCTCTGCCTCTCTGGTGCCCCGCAAGCCCAGGCGTGGGAAGCTCCGCAGGTTTCTGCACCCACCAGGTCCCAAGCCAGGCTCCCTGTCCCGTCCCCACCTCCACCCAGCCTTAACTGCTGCACACAGGAGCTAAGAGCCCGGGTTTTCTCCAGGTGGCCACTCTGGCTGCGGACCCCAAGGGGTGCCAGTGACCCATGGGGATGTGGGGCTGGTGCTGCTCCACGTGGGCCTCTCCAGCACGAATGCCTGAGACAGAAAGGCTCACACAAAGCTCAGCACTCCCTTCTCCAGTGGGGTCTGTACTGGGGACAGGACTGTCCCTTCCGTTTCTCCTCCTGAGGCACCGAGGCTCCGCTAAGTGATAGATGAGATGCAATTATCTCAGCCGCCTGCCTGGGACCCCTGTGGCTGTCAGAGAGTCTCCAGCTTCTTGCTATGCAAACTGGGAGCTCCCCTGACAGCTCTGAGTCTCAGTTGCTTAGGAGGAAAAGGAATGAATTTTAAGGAAGAAAGAGCTGGAGGCTAGGTGGGGTGGTGCACATGGGGAGGCTGAGGCAGGAACATCCCTGGGAGTTTGAGGCCAGCCTGGTCTACATGCTGAGTTCAAGGTCAGCCTAGCCTAATAGCAGCACCCTCTCTCAAAAGAAACAAGCAAATGAACATAGGAGCGGATCTTACTTGGAAACTTTGTTATAGTAAGGTTACTCCACAGGTATAGCATCTTGAAGAGTAGCCGGGTCTGTTCAAGATGACAGAAGTCAGGAATCAGCCACGAAATCCGCCTGTGTGTTCGCATTGATGACTGATTTTGCTTTGTTTTAGGGTCTCGCTACGGCTGTCCTCGAACCCAATGCGCTCCTCCCGCCTCAGCCTCTTCAGTGCGGAGATGACAGGTGAACGCCACCACAGCCAGCTGACGACTGGGTTTTAAAGCTATTGAATCCGTATGAACCAAATGCCTTTGACTCCCAGCTCCCAGCCGGGTGAGGGCCCTGGCACCGCGGGGTCCTTCTCCCCAGCTCCCGTGGCCACCTGGCAGCCTCTCCTCCCAGTTTCAGCAGTCAGTTATTTCTCATGTATGTGTTTGTGTTTGTGTCCTAGGAGCAAAAGAAACGCTGCCTCCCCAGCGGCTGCCTGTATGGCATCGGGACAGGGTCTCCCCAAGTTGCTAAACTGCCCAGCCTGAGCTTGAACTGTAGACCCGCCTGCCTCAGCCCCCCAGAGGACTGGGATTATAGGCCTGCACCGCCATCCCTGGCTTCACCAGGTTTTAAAGTCTCTTCTTCCCCAGTGGAGCTGGGGGTGGACCCCAAGTCCACACCTGCTCACCAGCCCTGCCCTGCAGTCTCTTAGAAACACGTGTCTGGGCCGTGGGCCTCTGGCAGATGGGCTTCTCTGTTACTGCCTTCACCTCCAGCGAAGACAGTGAGCCAGGTGTGGTGGCACACACCTGTGACCCCAACACTCTGGGAGGCTGAGGCAGAAAGATTGCAAGTTTGAGCCCAGCCTGGGAACTTGGAAACACAGCAAGACCCTGCCTCCAAGTAAAAACTACCATGCAGAGCTGGGTTCCAGCTCAGGGCCGGGGCCCTGGGCTCCGTCCTCAGCACCAGCGAGGCAGCGCGCGTGCTCACACAGCCTGGAGCTCTGCGGTCTACTGCTTCTCCACCCGTGCTGGGCACACACCTGGGGCACACACACACACACACACACACACACACTGTAAAGGGTGACCGGCCTGAGAGGCACCAATGGGTTGTGCAGCTTTCCGGCAGATGACAACTTGCAAGCAATGCTCCCTCAGCTCCATCTCTGCGCTGTCTGCTGCTGCCCGCAGGGTGGTTCTCGGTGAGCCAACCAGCCAGCCGCCAGCCAGTCAGGGATTTGCGCCATTTGCAAGAACAATGGCAGTTTCAAGTCAAAGAACCACCTCCTTTTCTCCTTCTGGCTCTGTCTGCCCAGAGCTTTTGTTCTCTGAAATCCCCCGGAGCTGCCCTAGGTCGCCTTTTGTCCTTGTGTCTCAGGACAGGTGTGTCTCAGGAGGGGAGATCCTTGCTTGGAGTCTGAGGCCCAAGTCCTGGACCTGAGCAAAGCCGGCTTGGTTAGCCCAGCCACACAGCCAGCGAACGCTGCTCCTTGGTGGCTTTCATGCATGTGGCCCTCTATGGAAGTCCTGATCCCCGACTGTCACAGGGAGGGAAGGGCCTGCCCTGGAATTGTCGCGTCACTGAGGCAATGTACTATTTTCCAGGGGTGGTTTCGGCCCTGAGGATTGAATCCAGAGCCCAATGCACTCAAGGGAGCCCGTGCTTTACCCAGCCCTTTTCCTTCCTGTTCTGAGAGGGTCTCACTAAGTGACCCAGGCTGTCCTTAAACTCAAAACCCTCCTGCCCCAGCCTCCCAGGTTTAGGATGACAGCCAGGACCACCACGTGGTGGGCTTGATGATAGTGGTTTTTAAAGCAACAGCTGGAGAACATTAGCCTTGAGTAGAGGCAGGTGGCACCCCAGTCGCTGAGAAGCCGACCTTCTCCTGCACGGGTTTCAACACCTCCCTCACTTCACCTTCCATTCAATCAGGAAAGAGGAACAAAGCAGAATCCAAATCAGAAGCCCTCCTAGGATCGCACAAACAGGACACTGTGGAGACGGAACATGGCTGCTTCCCCTCTGCACATACTGTGAGTCTGGGGTCTTTGATATTTTCCTTTTTTTTTTTTTTTTTTTGGTGGAACCGGGGATTGACCTCAGACCCTTGCGCTTGCCAGGCAAGTGCTTATTCTACTGAGCCACCTACCAGGCCTTCTTGTTGAAATCTGCTGCGCTTTCATAAAAGATACTGAGAATTTGTTGTGAGACAGGGCCTTGCTGTGAAGCTCAGGCTGGCCTCAATGCTTCGTGATCCTCCTGCCTCAGCCTCCTGCTTGCTAGTATGACAGGCGTGGATCATCCCACCCCCTACTGCTACTGCTAGGGATCTGTCCCAGGGCCTCCTGATGCTAAGTGTGTGCTAAGCGCTCGCTCCACCCCGAATACCCACGGCTCTGAGTTCATCATTTCTGTTCATTCCTTTGCTTCATGTTCATTCAGCCCCTGCCGCCTGACAGACCAGTATCATTCCTGCCTCGCAGGACGTCCCTGGGTTGAAAGTGTTGTCTCCGTCTCACCGGTGAGGGGCACTGCAGAGGCGCTAGTCTAGACCAGCGCTTCCCCTGCCGCCCTTTCTGCCAAAGTGCTTTCTCTGCCCCAACTACACAACAACCACCTGGTTAAAATCCCACTGTTTAGCCAGACATGGTAGTACAAGCTTGGAATTCCAGCTGTCAGGAGGCTGAGGCAGGAGGCTTCTCATGAGTTCAAGACCAGCCTGGGCTACATAGTGAGAGCCCTTCTTACAACACAAAACAGAATGAAATCCCGCGTAACACTCACTGCTCTTAGTCTTCTTATAACAGAAAAGCCAGCACCTTTGTCCTGGACCGCACAAACCCACCGCCGCAGACCGGCACAAAGCCAGGCCCACCTCAGAATGGGTCAGAGGCACAGAGCGCATGCGTGAACGCGGTGCAGCAGAGGGGCGCGGAACTGGTTTCTCTTCCCTGACTTTCCGCGGCCCTGAGGCGCAGAGAGGGCAGGCAGGCGGGGTGCCCCGTTCTGCGTCCGGCAGCTCCCACTGCCCGAATGGCCAGCACGGGCAGTGGTTCTCCTGAAGGCTTTCATTTCTTTTGCCTCTTTCTGACCTCTCCCCACTGCCTTGATAACAGCAGACCCGAGGCCCCAGGGAGACTCCCCACCCCAGGGCTCGTGCCCTGGGAAGCCCAAGTCCTTCCCTGGGACCCAGGGCCCTGACCCGCTGTCACTCTGCAGCGTGATGGTGGTACACGCGTCACCAAGGCCTCTGCTGACAGTACACTGCCCGTAGGAGCCCCCGAGCCAGGGTGCTGCCGAGCTCACCCCACACCCACCCTCAGCTGCTGACAGCATCTTTCTTCCCCCAGCCAGGGAAATGCACTCATTTCTGAATAACATGGAGCGGGCATAGTGGCACCCCTGCCAGTCCAGTACTTTGGAGGCTGAGGCAGGAGGATCACTGCCCAAAATGGAGGCCAGCCCGGCTACATCAAGAGATCTTATCTCAGATAAATTAACTAGCTAATTAATTTTTCAGTAAACGTCTCACCTATCTTGCAAGGGCACTTTGGAAATGCCTCTGGACTTCCACGTGTCGCACCAACTCTTGTAGCACCGCTGACACTATGGAATGGTTACCTACCTTGTGCAAGTCGAACCCTAACCATCCCTTGCCCCCAGCCCCAGCCTCTCTTGAGTGACTTTTGAGATAGGATCTCACTAAAAAGTGAGAGCCCAGGCTGCCCTTGAACTCACAGTGATCCTCCTGCCTCAGCCTCCCAAGCTCTGGGTATGTGCGCACCCACGCCCACATCTCAAGTGACATTCTGATGAGTTTCCTAACCTCACATAAAGGAGGGCACCATAAAAATGTCTGCGCTTCAAATATGTACTAATAAAAAGTAACAGAAACACAGTCCGAGCTGGAACGGACAAAATCAGGCAGCAAGGAGCGGTGCAGCCTTACCGTTTTATTTAGGCATCGTAATTCAAAAACTTGTATAGCATAAATAGCCTTCCACATCATAAAATAACTTAGTACAATTTATAATAAAGCTTTTGAGAATCTATTATCGTCAAAATACAATAAAATATGGTTTGGAGGTGAGATGAATCCCTTCACGTTCTCTTGAAAGCATAGAAGCCCTAAATACTCAATAATCCAGGGCCAAAAGCTCACTGTTTCAACAGACACAACCACCCTAAACTCGTACAGTTTGCCTCCTGGCTGGGATCTTTGCAAGTTTCACTCCTTCCGACTCAGATTGCAGTTTCCTCAGCTTCCTCCTCCACTCTCCTCTGCGCATCTCCAAAGTCTTGGTCACTCGCGCCCCAGAACGCGCAGCCAAGCTCTCTCCACCCCTTGGCCTCAGTTTCCCTAATCCAGGGTCCGTGTGGGGGCAACTTCAGAGTAAGTACAAAGGTATTTCCAAACTTCCGTGCCACGCGGCTCCGCTCCGCTCGGTCCTCCCCAGGCTGCGTCACCGCTCGGGCAGGTTAATCACGGGGACCCACTGGTCCATGTAGCGGCTCTCCCGGCAAAAACAAACGAGCTGACTTAGGGCAGGATCCTTCCACGGTGATGTGTGGGGGTTCTGGGAACAACACACAATGGTTAATTCCCCGGAAAAACAACTAGCCCTTCCTCCTCAGGACTGCTTCTGGCGGGAAGCCACGGGGCATTCTACACGGGCTACAGGACTGCAGAGCCGCACACTGATGCAGAAACCGGAGCACATCCCGGGCAGCTGAGTGTTTGCTAAATCACTTACACCCCTATCCCCTGCAAAGTTCGGAGGGCTGACCCCCACAGAGGCGCAGGGGCCTCTATTCATATCTGAGTCCATGCAGGGTTTTGCGTGCCAAGTGATACTCTGTACATCCATGAGCATAACAATTGTGCAAAACAGGCCCACAATGCGTGCACAAAGAGCCTGGGGACACGAAGCCGCTCACTGGGACTGCCACCTGTTATTGTCCCAAAAGACCAGAGTGGCACTTTCCTGGGGCTGCAAAATAGTTGGCTGCCACTCCCCTAAACGGGGCAGAAAGGAGTCACATCCGGAAGACCAAGCCAGCACATCTAACTCGGAAAACCCACCACCCCACCCACCAGGGACTTCCACAGGGAGATTAACAGTCCGTTAAAAAATGCAAGACTGCAAAGGAAAAACTCTCCGTGTTACCTCCAAATGCACCTCTGGGGTATGCATAGGTCCGCCTCCTTCACCCTTCCTATTTTTAGCGCAGCCTGGCAGGGAACCAGGCCAGCTTCTTACTCAGGGGTGAGCCAGGAATTTCTGTGGCTTTATCTAATCTGCCCTGCTGAAGGAATTAGTCACGCGAGCCTGTGCAGCTAGGTGGGGAGTCACTGGGCCCCGCTGACTCACACCCTTCCGCTGGGCACCGGCCAGCGTGCCTAGACATGTTCTGTCCCCAGAAAGTCCCGATGATGAAACTGGCCCTTCTGGGCTGAAAGTCCGCCTGCTCGCGGAAGGGGCAGAGGCGGCTGCCCGCTGTCCCATTCCAGTCCCTCCCCCGCCTCCCGGCTCCCCGCGCAGTCCTCAGCCCGGGCCTCACCGTCACCAGCACGCAGTGCAGGTCCGGGGTCTGCGCAGCGCCTTCGCTGCCCGGGTCGGCGCCCAGCAGCAGCAGCTCCGCCAGGCGGCCCGGGTTGCTGACGCGCAGGATATCGATATCGTTTTCACAGCAGAACGCCTGGATCAGGGTGAAGTGGATCTGCAGCGCCACGTCCCTGTCGTCGTCCTCGTCAGCCGCCAGCAGACACAGCACCACGTTATCCGGGTCGCTGCAGGCGGGTGGGCACCGAGGGAGGCGTGAGCGCCGAGCCCAGCGTTGAACCACCCCTCGGGCCGGTTCAGCGGGCGGGGACCGCGGGAGGTCACACGGGGGACACGAGGGAACAGCGAAGAACACTTACACGTTGAGCAGCTTGGCCGCCTCATACACCCCGACAGTGAGGCTGCGCTGACTCAGGGCTTTGCTGAGCACCTTCTGCAGGGCATCGCCCACCGTGTCCATCCTGCGTGCGAGCGGCGGGCGTCGGAGACCCGGTCCCACCTCGTCCGGGAGCCCCAAGCCCTCCCGGCCCCGCCGCCGCCGCCCCGGCCCCGGCAGGACACACGGGAAACTTTCCTGCGCGCGGCCCGCGGCAGGGGTCGCGCAGTGGCCGGCGGAGGCCACTCACCTTTCGGTCTTCTGCTCTCCAGCCGAGAATTCCTCCAGAGTCATATTGCAGCTGCAGGTCCCCACCGAGAGCGCGGGTGCGGGCGGCTCTTGCCCGGCGTGCGGCACGCTCGGTCCCGCAGCCACTCGGAGATAGCACCCGGCCAGCAGCTGCGTTCCAGCCACTGAGGACAAAGGCACTGGTTCCCGGAGTTATCGGGTCAGCATTTAACCAACCACTGTCCGCTTCATTTGCATGTCGTACTGTCATTGGACTATGCAAATTAGATGATGTAACAATTTAACCCTAACTGCTGCAGCCAGGAGTAGAGAAGCGGAAGAGGGAAGAGCTACTGGGAAGGCTGGGAGGGGGGCGAGGCGGGGCAAGGAATGGGTTTGAGCAGGGAGGGGCGGAGCGCTCTGATGGGGGCTGGGGGGCGCGGGGTGGCAGGGGTCGCGGGGTTGCAGAGCCAGGAGGTGACTTTTGCTGGGACCGGAGCATCCTGCTAGTGTTCTAATTGGGTGCACAGATTTTAGTGATGGATTACTATCTTGTTTTAAGGGGTTGCTGTTCAAATGTATTTCAGGGTAAATGCACCCAAGTCTGGTAATTATTAGTAAACAGGTTATATTTAAAGAAAAAGAAGAAAAGTGTGTCCAGACCTCCCGGGCAAAGTTTACCCCAGAAATGTTGTTTACGTAAGTCCAGACAAAGCTGTTCATTAGTAGTAGTATTACCCTGGTGCCCTGATGGCTGCTTTGGTTTATTTTTGGAAGGTTGCAAGGATTGGAATCACAAAAAAGAAAAACCAACACATTTGTGTTAGCCATGGCCGTGAGCCAAGGTGGAGTCCGCTCCTGAGAGCAGAAAGGCTTCCTGCCTGCCTCTGACTCTGGAACACGCTGAGCCCGTTTGAGTCCCAGCTGACGCCTGATCCTCGTCCCCAGAAATCAGTCTTGAAGAAGGCGCCGGGCGGCACCTGCTAAGAGCTGGCATCTGTCACCCACAGAGCCAGTGTGTGCCCTGAACGCCCAGAACGCGTGGGATGACTTCACTATGAATTATTGATGTGAGCTGCTGAATCATGGACTGCCGCGATAGGACAGTGTGGTCATTTGCTAAATGTCGCCTGTGAACTAGCGCACTTTGGAGGAGGCAGGTGGATGGCAGACCTTTGTCACTGCAGGCAGGAGTCACAGTGGCTTAAGAACGAACTTTAACATACAGACCTTCACAGAATTCTCAAAAGTTCCTGTCTTTGTTTTATAGGTTCACACAATCAATGCAAAAACATTTCATAAACCCCGTGAAGCCACCATATGTGGTGACTGCCTCTCCCCCACACTGCATCCAAACAGTGCTTATGTTGTTAAGGTCACTGCGAGGCTAGTCACTGAGAGGTCTACTTTGCAAAGGTACGAGGGAATTTTGCACCGCTGTTTTAACATTCTGGACAAAATACTTTCCAGCTCTGTTCATCTTTTTATTTTTAACTCTTTTATGAATGCATGTTTGCAGTTCATGATGTTTACATTTGTGTGTGGAGCTAGTCCATGTACATAACACATTTTAATTCCTTTTCTCACCCTCTCCCTCTTCCCTTCTCCCTCCTCTCTTCCATCCCTTCCCCTTGGAGAAAGATCTGTCTTCCTACTTAGCTCTTTTATTTTATTCATTACTTATAAATCGAGTATCTCATATAAGAGATACCATGTGATAGCTAAGCTTATGTGTCTGATTTATTTCACTTAACATTATGGTCTGAGATGCCTGCATTTTCCTACAAAGGACTCAGTGTATCCTTTCTGGCAGGATAGCACTCTATAGTGTGTCAGTACAACATTTTTTTAATCCCTTCATCTATTGATGAACATAGGGCCAGGGAGATAGCTCACTGGAATAAGCGCTTCCCTGGCAAGCGCAAGGGCCTGAGTTCAATCCCTGGTTCTGGGGAAAAAAAAAAAAAACAAGAAAAACATAGGGACCATTTCCAGGATTTTTTGCAAGTTGTGCTGTTATAAACATGGGTGTGGATAGATCATTGTAAATTTATGTTCTTTAACTCTTTGGGGGAGATGCCTAGATATTGATCTTAATTGAGTAGAGAAAGAAACAATGGACTGGTTTTCCAGTTTGTGCATTGAAGTCCTGCTTTGCACGTAGTCCCCAGCAGACTGTCAGCAAGGTCAGTGTCTGACTAAGGGAGGGTGATCATTGGTGCATGGTTCCCCGGGTGCTTTGGGGTCTCCCCTGCAGGCCCTAAATCCCAACATAAGGGTCCTTGGCCCCAGGGCTGACCCTGCACAGTGGGGTGGAGTGCTTGCCCAGCTCACTTGGGATCCAGATTTGCTGCCCAGCACTGAAAACAAGAAAAAAAAAAAGAAAGAAAGAAAGAAAGAAAGAAAGAAAGAAAGAAAGAAAGAAAGAAAGAAAGAAAGAACCCTCGACCTCCACCATGCAGGAATGTGCCTCGGTTTTGTGTCCTGTTGTGCAGAGATGGCCAGGCTGTGCTCCACAGACTCCAGGCTTCCACCTGCCGGATGATTCCTCCAGGTCTTTGGAAGAAAGTGTGACTGGGCTGAGAAACGACTGCCCCATCTCTGGGCCGCAGCACAACGACCTCATCCACTTGGTGTGCCCAGCACGGACACAGTTCCTGGGTCCAGCAGAAGCGAGGTCAGGCTGTGTGGAGTTTCCCAGAATCCGAGATAAGCAAGATCTCCGAATGCTTCAGCCCTGGGTGTGCGTGATAACAGGGATGTCCCACCTCTCCCACAAGGGCCAAAGCCCTCTTTATGTCCTGTGACAACCAGAGACCGTGCTGGCACCAGTCCCTTCCCGTAAGAGCTTCTGCTCTAATTGCTGCAGCTACGCTTGAGCTGGATTTGGGGACAAAATAGTATTCCCTGTCATCAGCTGGCTATGCTGGGAGTCCCATGACCCTAGTCATCTGAATGGTGGCTAGGGACAATAGCACATACATTGTGTGTAGCAAGCGGAATGGAACGCAGTTGGCGGAGCCCCGCCCAGCTCCACTCTGCAAAGTGGGGCATGCGAGAGAACATGAAATTATGCATGCAGGTGCTGAGGCTTTGTCTCTGCAGGATAGCCTCACCTTCAGGATTCGAAGAGTCACTTGCTGTGCCTGACTTGGAAATGTCACCTCAGGGCACCTGGCTGCTCAGTGTGCCTAGGACATTTCACTGGGGACCGGCTTCCGAGGGGCCCCGCATCTGGCCGCTGTGACAGCACAGCCATGCAGGAGGACAGCCAAGACCGTTTGTTCGTCCTGGGAGAATTGATACCCAGTGGTAAATCCAGGGAATTTCTCTAGGTCAGCGCAATAGCTGGATTTTTATAATCAGTGAAATAACTGCCAATATAAAAATCATTTTTTAAAGTACTTGTGGAGGGCCGGGGAGATAGCTAAGTAGAATAAGCATTTGCCTAGCAAGTGCAAGGTCCTGAGTTCAATCCCTGGTACTGAAGAAAAAAAAAAAACTGTACTCGTGGATCTGGGCATGGTGCACACTCCTGCCATCCCTGCACTCTGGGAGGCTAAAGCAGGAGGATCACGAGTTTAAGCCCAGCCTGGCCTGCTTAACTATATAGTAAGACCTTGTCTCAGGAAAAGAAAAAAAAAAAAAAAAAAAGAGAAGAAGCAGAAGTCATAAAAAAATTAAAAAATAAAAAGAAGCAGAAGCCATAAAGGCTTGGCTTGCTCAATGCAAAGGTCCTGGATTCAATCCTTAGTATTGAAAAACAAAAGCAATAAAACAATACTTATTGTATGTCACCTAGGTTTGAAATTCGGCAGGACTAGAAGGACACTGTCATATTAGTAAGAATGTCAAATTGTTCTATTTGGAATCTGTGGAAATATGGACTCAAGAATTCTTAAATTATTTTATCACTGTTACTTGATTTGCATATTAAAATTTTTTTGAATCCAGTCATGGTACATTCTCATGTAATCCCAGCACTGGGGAGGCTGAGGCAAGAGGATCACAAGTTTGAGCCCAGGCTGGGCAATTTAGCAATATAGTAAGTATTGTCTCAAAAAATTTTACAGCCAGGGCTGGGATGTGGCTCAGTGCGAAGGCCCTGGGTTCACTCCTCAGCAGTATAAATAATGAAAGCTGACTCTTTCTGTGGGCTCCAGACTTCCCGATGGACCAAGACCCAGGTCTGTTCCCCAGGCCACTCCAGATCTGGCAACATTCTGGGTGGCCCAGTGATCTTGGGCCTGGTGCTGCTGGCCTCAGGTTAGCAGAGGGGGCCTGGGTGACAGAGCTCTGGGGGAGGCTTTACAGGGTGACCAGGGATCAGGACAGGGTCTTGTCCTGGGCAGAACCCACCCGAGGGACAGAGCCCTACCCACAGCCCTGGGATTCATCTCAGGGAGTAAAGGACAGGTCAGTCAGGAATTTCTCCAGCCTCCTGGGAGGCCAAGGAAGACCCTTCCTGATCCATCCTCCACCAGCTGGTGTCAACCTTCAAGGCCCTAAGGAGCCAGCCTAGACTTCGGATGGACAGAAATTGTGAGATTAAAAATACACGTTCCTGGCTGAGGAGATAGCTTGGCAGTCTAAGCACCTGCCTGGCAAGTGTGAGGACCTGGGTTTGATCCCCAGTACCACATGCTGTGCCAGCCCCAGAACCCCAAATGTGTCATGCTGGCCACTGAAACTGGGCATGGTGGCAGACACCTGTAAGTGCTGGGCAGGCTAAGACAGGAGGATCACTATGAGTCCAAGGTGCACCCTGCGAGCTACGCTTCCCCTCGGTGACTCACAGCAGCCTGGACCCCTGCCCTGTCCAACCTCCCCTCTCTGTGACTCATCGGGTCTCCCTTCAATATTCATTTGCTAATGAGCGCAAATATGTCCCCAGCTCCCTGGATGGGCCAGCCTGTGTCAGCGCCCAGGGGCTCCTCCGAGGCCCGCTCCTGCGGGGGGCAGCCGCAGCTCCACCGCTGCTCCTGAGTCCAACCCATGCACAGGTACGGTTGTGGCTTTCTGATACAGCCCCTCACCCTGTGGCCCAGGCTGGCCTCCAACTCTGGGGTTCCTCCTGCCTCAGCCTCCCAAGCACTGCAATTACAGCTGTGCATGTGGGCTAAATCACACATTGCTCAACGAGTAAGCACGCCGATTTCACGTTGTAGCGGCTGAACTAGAGCACCAGGC